CAGAAATAGACTCCGACGCGGTAGAAATGTCTCCCGATTTCGTCCGACTACGACAGAGTTGTAAACTGTCCACCCCTGCCAAGACATGCAAACCAGGAGTGGTCAAGAAATTCAGACGCAAAGTCTCGCAAGCGTTTCTTGGTAAGACGGTTACGGCCATAATCACTGGTTATTTGTATTTTGTATTGTTATTTGTTATTTGTATTTTGCCATTTCTACGGTCTCGTCTGTTAATTTACTCGTATTTTCTCATACGTTAAATTGCAGCGCAGAAATGTTTTCTATGCGCTACACACCAGCTCATATACACATTTGTTTGCTCTCTCAGGAGTAGTTGTTGTTGATGTAGTAGTTCTTAGAAGTAGTTGTGCTGTAAATATTACTTGCAACATACGCGCACGAAACTGCGTTCGCGAGAGAAAGTGCGAGAGCTTGCGTATGCGTGTGTACAATGCCTATGCGCGCGAGTATCATGAGTGGAGAATGACAAAAACATAAATTCGTCATTATTAACCCCTGGCGTGCATGCATGTTCATATGCGTGCACACGTGCGTGTGCGTGCGTGCGTGCGCGTCGGTGTATGCGTGCCCGTCGGGGTGTATAATTATGATGATTTGAAAGTGTGCGTTACTTTACGTAGCTCGCAAACTCGGTATGATAAATTTCAAGTTATGCAGCGAAAACGCCTTCTCTTCACTTCCTTTCCCTTTCCACTCACCAGAGACTGCGTGTCGCGTGTTGCAGCGATGTCTCCAAATCCCATGCGTAGTTGGAACAGCACAGACGAGGTGCTGCTCTGTAGAAACACCGATCTCTTGCAAGCCGTCGAGTGGTATTGGGGCGACATTTCAAAGTAAGCAGACGTCACGAGAATGAATAGGGGGGTTGGCTATGCCGAGGATTAAAGAAACGAGCGAACGAGAGAGGGAAAGAATGAGAGGGAGCGAGAGAGAGAGAGAGAGAGAGAGAGAGAGAGAAGAGAAGAGAGAGAGAGAGAGAGAGAGAGAGAGAGAGAGAGAGAGAGAGAGAGAGAGAGAGAGAGAGAGAGAGAGAGAGAGAGAGAGAGAGAGAGAGAGAGAGAGAGAGAGAGAGAGAGAGATGGCGGAAGTAACTGTGTTTACTACATGCAGGGATGATACTCGTGGAAGCCTAAAGAATACTGTAGATGGGACCTTTCTTGTCAGGAATGCCACGAACAGCGTAGGAGATTTTGCACTTGCCGTCAGGTAACTGCGTTTACGCGTGTTGGGTACAACCTTGGAGTAATCATTCTGAATTGGAGTATAATCAGTAAGTTTGGAGAGTAATCAGTAACCTTGGAGTAATCAGTCAGAATAATTACTCCAAGGTACAACATCGGGGCGGGGCGTTGCGAGGGATCACTGAGCAACGTTAGTGCTTAAATGCAGCAGAGATGCAACAGGTAGGGAAGCCACAGATCTAACGATAACTGTATATTGGTTAGTCTAGCAGCGAAGCCACACTAACTGCAACTTCTGTCACTGCAGGAAAGGAAGCAGCACGAGGTTGATTAAAATATATTACGACGAAGGTATGTTTAGTTTTACTCCACGCGGCCAGAGACCCACAGAGAATTCACTGCGCTTTGAAAGCGTCCTGACACTTGTGCATCACTTCGAGGAGACGTCTCTGGAAGTATGTAATAGCCGGGTGGACACAAGACTGTTGTATCCGATGTCGCGCTATGCTAACGGGGTGAGTACGAGACTCTATTCGCTGCTACATATGTAAGCTACGATTAGTGGTGGCGTCGCAGTGGGCAGATCGTCGGCGATTTTCGGTCGTACGATCGTCGCACGACGGCCGCCGATCAAAAATCGTCCGTAGTCGCTCGTCTATATCGAAACTAGAACCAGATTCATCGAATGCAAAAACTGGTTCTAAAAACTGAAACACAAGTCGGTGTAAAATGGTCAAATAATTATGTGCTTTAACTGCGCATATTCATTACTCGCGTATATTCATACTTACCAATTTTTCATAAAGATCACTAGCCATACACGTGTAATTGGGTGCACTGTGATTACGTAAATTCGTACGGCCCAAATACGTTGAATTCTCGCCTCTTACCAAAAACGTCGCCACGACTGAAAGCAGAGGTGAGCAAGAAAGCGGTACGACGGTGAAGCCATTTAAGTTTGCAAAGTCGAGCGTTGCCTCGCAGGATGCGGACGAGCAGGGAGACAAGGATGTCCTGAAGCAGCGATTGCTATGCGTCAATAAGGAGCACATGAAGCTGTCACTGCAGTACAGCCGCTACCAGGACGAGCAGGCCGCTCTAGCTACACAGATGCAGCTGAAAAAGCAGGCGGGTGAGATCTCACATGAATTGCGCACGTAGAAATAAGATCGTAGATTGGTTATCTCTAGATGCATACATAAACTGGTAACGGAGGAAAGATGAGGTCCATGGATGAAATAAGCGTAGGGAATGTGTGGGAACGCATAGAAATAAGATGATTCTCACCATAGATAGGCTATCTGTAAATGCATGCATGAACTGTTAGCGGAGGGGTGTATATATAGGTCCAAGGATTAGGTGAGCGACGGGAATCAATGGGAGCGCATAGAAATGAGATCATAGATAGACTATCTGTACATGGATGAGGGGAAACTGGGGTAGAGAAAGCTAAGGAGATATGAGGATAGCGAAGTGCAGTATACAGAATATGAGAATTGCGAAGGGTGGAGAAGAGATAGATAGAGATATAGAGGACATAGATAGGAGAGGAGATGAGATAGGGAATAGGGAGGGACAAACGGGAGACGAGGTAAGGCTGAGAGGGGCTATGTCCCCCAGGGTACGTTCCGGCAGTATCCTGGGGGACATATAGACCCTATGAGCCGAGGTAAGGGTGAAGTAGAACAACATTGCTGGTGCGGATGGAGAGGGAACTGTGGTAGTGAATCAGAGAAGCTGTTCAGTTGAGTGTGAAGACGCCAGGCGTTAGAGTTGGCTGTACGTACGCTCGCTCGCATGTTCGGGCAAGCTCGAATAAAGGAAACAGTAAACAGATACCGGCAAACGGACCCACCGCCATAAGTTCTGTGACGTAAAAGCATCGATTAATTTTAACCTGAAAACACAAGCCAGACAAACGCGCAGAAGAAGCAGATGCAGGCGCATAGTAACTAACAACAACGCTATATAACAATTGTTTTGCATTCTAGCGCACGCGTTTGTACCAACGATCACATTTTTTGAGGAGCAGAGTAGCACACTCAGGAAGCAAACATCCGGTTTCGACAACGCAACTGAGCAGACCAGGTGCCCATAATTTCATATACCCAACTACTCAATACTTCAAGATATTTCCCGAGCCTTCCACGTGAAGTTGTTACAGCCACTATAAGCATAGCGCTAATGCCTAGCTATGCATGCCTATAGCGCTAACGCTATTCCCGCCTGGAGTAGAGTTTACCACTTACTATAAAGAGAATGTTGAGCAGCAGTGTGAGCCTGTGAGTAGTAAAATTTTACATTCGCTATCGTACACACACACGCACGCACACGCACGCACGCACGCACGCACGCACACACGCACATACACACGCACGCACACACACACGCACGCACATATATATGATACAACAGCGTCAAAAACGTAGCTTCGCTCTCGGCACGCCATGCCCCCCCCCTCCTACCCCACCCAGCCATCCACATCTGATGACTGACGGTATTACCTCGCAGGGTCACCATGGCACACACGACCCTGATGCGGAGGCTATCAGAGATCAGATCGCGCGCCGACGAGCTGTCTGCAGAACTAGCGACGGACGGCGGTCAGTACCACGACCTTGACCGCGCCATGAACTCCATGAAGCCTCGCGTGATAGAACTGCATAAGCGCATGATGGAGTTCTCGGAGTAAGTGGGAGGAGAGCGAGCGAGCGCGGTGCATGCGCGATGCTTATAGTTATACCCGCGATATAACGGCACTTCGTTTTAAAAATGGCGACGCCCAGCGTGTTGCACCGCGAATACAGACTAATCCGGAGATTTTTTCTCGTGTGTTGAAGAGGTTCTGTGCAGATAATTGTAACGCCTGCGATAGTCAAAGCGCAGATTTCACATGTTGACATGTTGCCGGTTACTGCACAAAACCACCGAGCACCTCACACGGGCACCGTTCTTTTTCCTCCGTGATTTACGCAAATATGCAAATTTATTTAAAAATTTATACAATAATTAATTGATGGTGTGATTAGTTATACGTACAATTATTTAAAATATAAAATGAGTTTAGGAATGAAGCATATATACGCTCTCGGTTGTGGAAGAGGCAGAACGGGTGCAGAGAAGATGCATATGCAGACGTTCTTTAGGCGCGTCTCGCGCTTCTTCCTATCGCCATGTCCGTTAGAAAAGGCGGCTAAAGGTTTCTCCGCTGTGCAGAGAAGGAAGACTGTACTGTACACAGAGCTAAGCAGAAGCAAAGGGGTTCGGTTTTATTACCTCCGCCAAGGAGATTGTGTTTTCGCCCCTGTTAGTTTGTTTGTTGGTTTGTCTGTCAACAGGATATCTCAAAAAGTTACGGACGGATTTTGATGAAATTTTCTGAACGGGTCTTGTGCCAACAACCAATCGATTAGATTTTGGTGGTAATCCGGATCGAGATTAATGGGTTAGCGTCGGCTAATGTCTGGCTAGACATTCTTCATCACGACCACTAATACCGATCCGTCGTTACATTTCTTTTCGCGTAGATCATTGAAGCTGCTTGGTGTGTCTAACAGGACGCTAGAGCGCTGGCTGCAGCGGGCGTCAATACTGGCTGACGAAGACTATAGGTGAGAACGAGCTTGTGCAAGCTCGCTGATACGTAGGCGGCCAATCAGAATCGGCAACGAATTCAAATTTCGTTCGATTTATTTTTTCACGTGTAATGTAATTGTTATTTTGAATAACGGCGTTGGCATATGTACGACGGTGTATATATCGATCTACACACACTTTCCTTTACCCCTGCCGACGCGAATAACAGCTAGCGTTTCAACCCTATTGAAACAAAGGTCACGAGAACGAATGTCAGAAGGTGCAGGCAGCTATAGGAGATAAAAGCGACCGAGCGTCAGTCAGTTTTCGATTCGTGTTACAGCTGTGCGACATCGAGCACATCTACAGACTGGGAAGCGAGAGCAGACGCCGAGGAGGAAGAGGAGAACGAAGAGGCAGCGGGAGGAAGAACCTTACCGCACCACGACGAAGCGACGTGGTTTGAAGACCGAGTGATACAACGCGCCGAGGCCGAGCGGATCCTCCGTGACCGGCCGCCTGGAACGTTCTTGGTTCGGCAGAACCAGCAGCAGCAGTACTGCCTGTCCATCGTGTGAGTCGATCGTACGATCTACAACGCCAATACCATCACACCCTCATTGAAAACACGTTAAACTATACCCACTGACCAACGCTTCCACGTTGGCGGATGAACGGCGGGAGGGAGAGAGGGGGCATTTGAGCCATATTAGCATTTGAGCCAACCAGAAAACAAATGAAAAAACGCAAAGGAGTCACTTATGAGAATTCCGAACGTCCGTTTAATCCGATTGCTTACGATTATTTAACGAATTTAGTGTCCATTACAGGCCTGAACACTTGGAATCACTAACATTCTCAACTGGACCCTGCCGGGTGAGCTTAGAGTGCGCCCCTGTAATACCTCATCACCGGTGGTTGTTACCCCACCACTCCACCATTGGCACATTCCTGGATCAGCTAGTGCGTGTCCAACAAAATTATCATCATCATCATCATCATAATCATCGTCATCAATGCCACTTCCAACCTTGGCGATGGCATTGGAAAAGTTTTTGCCAGAGATGCTCGCATTGTCTACTCATGCTGTCTCCAGGGTGTGCTGTCGCGTCGTTCCATGCCGTGTATCGACGCGTTTGTTTCCAGGGGACCTGCGACAGTCAAGCACTGCATCATCGAGCAGGGCGAGCAGGGATACGGATTCGCTGAGCCCTACAACATCTACAAAAGCCTGAACGATCTCGTGCTGTTCTACCAGCACAACACTCTAGCAAAGCATTCGGACGAATTGCCCATAATGCTTCAGCATCCTGCATTCGCATAGCCAGTGGTCGGGCATAGCACGAGAGGTACATACTGCCGGTAACATCCCAGCTGGCCTACTCCAATTTCGTCTACTCTCAGAATCGACAATATTCCCATTTCGCCTACTCCCATTTCTATGCTACCGTATTTTCTATTTTTGTCAAGTTGTGTTCTCATTATTTGTACCTATGTTTTCTTCTCTGGTTCCTGTAGTCTATGTATGCCAATCATAACCACATTTTATTATTTATAAATGATTATTTAGTCAACAAACCGATCGTAGACGAAATGGGAATGGGGTAGATTTTGAGCGTAAACCAATTTGGAGTACGCGAAATGGGTCTAGGCCAACTGGGAATTTTGCTGTAGGCGAAATGGGAGTAGGTATAGGCCAACTGGGAATAAACCATACCCTGCCTGCCATCTTCAAGCTGCCATTTTTCGTGCTGTTCTCAGCTGCTAGTCAATAATTTACAGATTTGAAGCATCAATTACTGAAAGTACTTGAGACGGCCTAACTAAGAACACGACTGCGAAACTATCGTCTTTGCTAGTGTGCTCAATGTTATCGCCATTTACTGTCTTTTAGGTAGGCTGGAAAACAGCTTATAAGTACACATGACACTGGCCAGGAGCCTATACCAGGTGATCGATGAAAAGCCAGAATGAAGACCATGTTACACGACAATGCAAATGAGAATTGTTCTGTTCTTCCAGGTGTGGTTTTATGTTTCAGGAATATACATATATATATATATATATATATGAACAAATTTGGTTATTTTAACATGATATATGCCTAGATTATTCGGAAATGAAATATATTTATAGAGAGAGACTATTTTAAAATAAAGAGTACCTCTATATGCTCTACACACAATATTCTGGCTGTTTCTTCTTTTCTCTCTTTTTGTTTGTTTCAGGAATATATATATATATATATATATATATATATCTAATATATATTTGATCGTCATGTATGTACCTATCTATGTATCTTCCCTATAAGAGCGGCCAAACGCGCTCCATTGCGGATACTGATGCAAATTCACAGGGTCAGCTCTCTTATACCCGCCGTGGTTGCGTAGCGTACTGAAAAAACCTGTCTAACCCGTCAAACTCGCGCGAAAATCCGTGAAAAACCCCTCAATTCGGCAATCTTCACACAATGTCAGCCACACCCTATGCCTATTGATTTTCTTGCCCTCACCTCATGATCTCATCACTGCTGGTATTGTGAACCGAAAACCGAAATTGAAACTAAAACAGAGCATAACCACGGCCATTCAGAGGTACTACTCACTCTCAGTTCACAGTTCGGTTCAGATGCTAGCGCATCTGAGAATGCATTGTACCATTTCACAAGCTATGCATTTCTGATTCAATACAAAAATTCTTAATTTCAATGTGCATGGTTGCACGCCAAGCATTCACTACACAATATCCAGTGGACACAGACCCCACTCGCTGGCCTGTCTCTATCTATACTATATATGCAATTTCTTTTATTCGGCGTACGAATCTCACAAATGGATAGCTGTACTTGGGGAGCTAACAGTTGCGATAGACGCCCACGAATCTCTACATATTTGCACCAGAGAATAACACGAACAAACATTGTTTATCTAGAGAGTCTTTGAAACGAAAAGTCCAACCCATTCGTACATGCTGTTATATAACAATAGCTTTTTGTCATTTACTCCATATTACTGCTGAGAGGGTCTGTGCCCCCCCCCACCCCCGGGATACTGCGGGAACGTACCCTGGGTACGGTGGGGTATACCGGAACGTACCCTGGTACTATCTAATATGCCGGACCGTACCTCGCCTACTCCACTAACCGGTCGGCCTACGCCTACTCCCTAACCCCAACCCAAACCCTAACCCTAACCATATCAAATAGCCACCAGGGTACGTTCCGGTATACCTGGGGGACATAGACCCTATGAGCCATATTACTATTAATATTATGTCTCAGGTGTTCTAAGTTGGGTTGTGCTGTCATATAAATGTCATACGTAACAGTTTTTCCCCATGCTTATTATCTTATTAGACCGATTTCTAAATATTGATATTGGGTGCAATGTCATTGTCGATGTTTTACCCTAATGTTCTACGTGTCCCATTTATTAGTATAGTAGTATGAATTAGTAGCACGATTTTACCCAGCGCAGCGGGTACCCGCAGCTAGTATATATATATATCAGGAGTAGATATTGGGGAATTCCCTATTATCCCATAATAATTTCCCTATTATCTGCTTCTGATATATATATATATAAATATAACAGATTTTGTTATTTTAACCATTATATATGCATACATATTCGGAAATGAAATATATTTACCAAAGAGAAATATCCGTTTCAAAATTAAAGATATCTCTGTGCGTTTGCAACAGAATATTCTGGTTGGTTCTTCTTAATCTTTTTGTTTGTTTTAGATAGCGATTTTATTTTGCTATTTTAACATGATATAATGGCCTGGATTAGTTGGAATGAAATATATTTACCACAGAGAAACACCATTTAAAATAATGAAAATTTCTACGCTCTGGCTAGTTCCTCTTTTAGATTGGGTTTAATTGTTTCAATTAATGAGATATTTCTCAGATGCCACATTTTCTCACAGCAAGTGTGCAACTGTCGCCACAATTTTTGCTGTTATTAAATTGGCACAAATTTTAAATTATGCAGTATATAATACAAAATATTAGTATAGACCCAACTAGATATATAGAAAACTAGATATATTTAGTTGTTTCGAACAGTAAATAGACACCCACTAAGAGGTATATTATTACAACATCGGCCACAAAGAACATATATGCATGATGCCATGAATTGGAGTTTTTCATTCGGACTGTCAGTATCATTTCTAGTTTTCATAGTACAAATAACAAGAAAATTCCTACTTCACTCATGTATTACAAGCAATTCCCAACAACGGAATTACTGCTCAGTCGTACTACTCAGTTTAAATTCCAACTATCACATTAACTAGGCCACTGCAATGGTCTTAGCATCAAAGATTCACACTAATAAATGCTCATGGAACACAATGGATTGATGAGCATTCTGCGCAAGACATCTCATCTTAGATGTCACATGCTATCTTGCGACGCGACACCTAGAAATCTAAGATGATGTGTGTGACTTAATTAAGAGATTATTGTGCCACCAGCTTGGACGTTTCTTGTGAAGTTCCACAATTCTTTTCCCTTCATAGTAGTGTTTGTCTTTCTCTCCAACTCTTCACCGCTCGTACCTAAAAGAGGCAAAAGGCATCTATGATACTAAACGCTCATAAGGTCTATGTCTCCCTGGGTACTGCAGGAACGTACCCTGGTAACTATCTGATATGGTTAGGGTTAGGGTTAGGGTTAGGAAGTAGGCGACCCCTATAGACTCGTTAGTGAGTAGGCGAGGTACGGTAGGCGAGGTAGATAGTTACCAGGGTACGTTCCGGCAGTACCCAGGGAGACATAGACCCTCTCAGCGATACTGCCAGCTAACATCAGAGTAGCTAGACATATAAACATGTGCAAGATATTGATTGCTCAGTTCAGTAGCAACATCACATGCGAATGAGTGTATAGAAATTCAGGGAGCATGACACGACACAACCTGTTTCTTTAGCACCCAAAACCGAATGACATGGTCCCTTATAATAGATCTATGAGGGAGGTTACTCTGTCACAAATTTGCCAAACTATAGGTTCAACCACAGAGTGCAGGGAAAGGCACTATTAAAAAATGCATTTTACCTTATCACTAGAAATTAAAATACAGTCATCATCAGTAATGAGTCTAATGACCTCATGCTCACTGCACCACCTCGCCATGAAATAAAATATGTCAAATCTGCATGCCGAGAAACGACATTCAGATAATGCACTTAGCACATGTGGCATGCAATTTCACTATATGACTAGGGCTGTAACGATCCACCGAAATGCGAATGCGATCGAGATTCTCTTCCCTCGATCCGATCCTCGATATTTTTCCCCGTATTTTCGATTCCACTTTTTTCCTCCAATAGATGGCGGCACTACGCTATATACTGTGGAGTGTTACCAGACAATATACATCACTGGTGAGTAATGGCAATTTATATGCTCTGGTGTTACTCACCAATGTTACTCAGCGACTGTGCAGTTTATATAACTATATATACTCTCTAGACTCTCTAGTCTATTCACCATTTAGTATTCATTGGCAATTTCGAATAATTTATTATTGCAAAATAATAAAAATATAAAAAATAAGATAACATTTCAATATTTTGTGAATCGAATCGAAAGAATCGAATCGAGAGGCTAATATCGAGAACCGGATCAAATCGAGAGGCTTGTGTATCGTTACAGCCCTAATTATGACCCAATAGCTTGAATACTGAAAGTACCTCTTTCTTCTTTCTCTAGGTTGAAGACATCACAAACAACGCGTATGTGCAACCACTACTTACAATACTGTGACATCTTTATCCGAGTGTTTCACTCTGTCTTCCCATTTCTCTATCTGCATTGCATCCATGATCACCTTCGTCTCTGCTTGTACTTTGGCATAACAGTTACCTATAACATATATGTATATTGCGTAGATGCACATGTGAAATTGGAGTGTAACACCACATCTACAAGTCACCATTTTACTTACTGCATGCACAACACTGCACCTTGCACGTTTGCACAACATTGTCCGTAAATAAAGTCTCATGATGTGGTTTTGGGGAATTAACTATCAGAGTAACACGAGTTGGATACACACACCATTTATTAAACCCACGCTATGCTATTGTATTATTCTTACCGCATTTATGCATACGTTCCTAAAGCTAGTAACTGGCCCGAGCAAATTTCTACATTACCACAAATCGTTTTAGCCTGGTGGTAATGCCCACAATGGAGGCATGTGACCAGATCATGTCGTGAGTTGATCAGTTTCTGATATCCCATTCGTCTTGTCATTCGTCTCTCGACAGTTCGTCTATTTTTTGGCACAGCCCAGAAGAAGCCATCACCAACAAGCCGCTCTAATAATGATGTCTGCTTATCTATAGATCCATCTCGTATGCACTGCTGATCGGTGGGGAATGTGTTCGGCTGAGTATCAGCGATGGGAAAAACTCCACCAATCCCTATAAATAACATGTAAACCTTTTATTGCGTAGTAGATATATTAAACAGTATAAAAAAACACAACCGCGTTGGTTCAACCAGGCATGTCTCAACAAAGTCAGCTTTTTATCTGCTCAGGGTATATAGTATGGTAGCTTTTGATTATCGCATAAGCTCTATTTCTTTCAGAAATTATACAAAATAAATTCTAGTCTAGCTAAGCAAAAATAGTCTTATAATCCTGGGAATATAATTATCAATTATGAAATGGGAGCACAGGTTGCTCCTGTAATTAGTCCCCCCACATTACACGTTTGTGTGTGTAATTGTGAATTTAGAGACACTTCCTCCAAAAGCTACTGGTAATACGTTAGCTAAATCAATGCAACCCAAGAGAGTAGGGCAGGGAATATAACCTTACTCTGTTGGGTTGCACATTTGATCTAGAAATATGTGTGCTATCTATGAGAAGGAATGTAAAGGTTTTTGGTATTGAATATGATAGATACATGTATATTTTTCATTTACTAGGTTTATGAATTGTCACTTTACTTTATATTTCACTAGAAGCAATACTCTAATAGTAGTGATATTATTAGAAGCACAGGCACTTAGAAAGTTTCACCAATAAAATGATGGTAAATAAACATGAAATGAATTAACTAACAACGTATTAATGTTTATGTTTTCTCTATCAACAAATAATTCCACTTGAATGCCATTCAAATGCTCCTCTGCAACATACAATTGCACAGCATGAACACCACTGTGCAAATACTCACAGGAAGATTAGAGCAGGTGGGAAAGCGCGAGTGCTAAATTCACACAATGGGTGCAGGCAGCTATAGAGATAAAAGCGATCCGACGCGCCCATCAGATTTTCATTCGTGTTACGCTGTGCGACCACCTCGAGCATCAGCTACAACACTGGGAATGGCGAGAGCAGACGGTGCTCCGAGGCAGGAAGAGGAGAATCGAAGAGGCAGCGGGAGAACCAACGCGGAGGTGGACCGACCACGACGAGCGACCGTGGTTTTGAAGACCGATGGATACAACCGCGCCGAGGCCGAGGCGCTCCTCCGTGACCGGTCCGCCTGGAACAACGTTCTGGTTCGGGCAGAACCACAGCAAGGCAGTACTGCGTCCTATGCGTGTGAGTCCGATCGTACGATCTACCACGCGCCACCAGCCCGATACATTCACAGTCACCGCAATCGATGGCGAAAACACCTCTAAAGCTACTAAGCGCACTGACCGAACGCTTCCACTGTTGCTGAATGAACGCGGCCGAGGGAGAGGATGGGGGCATTGTGAACCATATAAGCATTTTGAAGCCAACCGCAGAAGTAAGCAAACATCGAAAAACGCAAAGGAGCCATCACGGGGGACCTTAATGAGAATGTTTCAACCTCCGTTTAATCGCATTGGCTCTACCATTATCTTAAAGAGGATTGTAGTGTCATTCCCGCCTGAACACTTGGAAGGCACTAACATGCGTACAATGGACTCCTGCCTGGTGAGCTAGAGCGCGCCCCGACTGTAATACCCGTCATCACCGGTCGGTGTTGTTAACCCCACGCACTCCACGCATTGCAGCATTCCCTGGATCGAGCTAGTGCGTGTCAAAAATATATCAATCATCATCAAATCATCATAATCATCAGTCATCGAATGCCACTTCCAACCTTGGGATGCATTCGGAAAAGTCTTTTGCCTAGAGATGCTGTCGCCATTGTCGCCATACCATGCTGTCCTCCAAAGGGTGTGCTGTCCGCGTCGTTCCATGCCAGTGTATGCGACCCGTTTGTTTCCAGGGACCTGTCGAGCAGTAAGCACTGCCATCATCGAGCAGGGCGAGCAGGATACACGGATTCGGCGTCGAGCCCTACAACCATCTACAAAAGCCTGGAACGATCTCGTGCTGTCTACCAGCACAAACAACCCTAGCAAAGCATTCGACGATGCCGCATAAGCTTCACGACATCCTGCATTCGCATAGCCAGTGGTCGGCAATAGCAACGAGAGGTACATACTGCCGGTAACATCCCAGCTGGCCTTACCTCCAATTTCGGTCTACTCTCAGAATCGACAATATTCCCATTTCGGCCTACTCCCATTTGCTAGCTAACACCGTAATTTCTATTATTGTTCAATGTTGTGTTCTCATTATTTGTATCCTATGTTTCTCTCTGGTTACTGCTAGTCTATGTATGTCCATGCATACACCACATTTATTATTTAATACATGATTATTTAGTCAACAAAACCCGATCGTAGAGACGAAATGGGAACGGTAGATTTTGAAGCGTAAAAACGCAATTTGGATCGTACCGAAATGGTTAGGCCAACTGGGAATTTATGCTGTAGGCGAAAATGGAGTAGGTATAGGCCAACTGGGAAAAACCATACCTGGCCTGCCATCTCAAGGCTGCCATTTTTTCGTGGCTGTTCTCATCTGCTAGTCAAAATTTACAGATTTGAAGGCATCAATTACTCGAAAGTACTTAGACGGCCTAACTAACGAACACGACCTGGCGAAACTATCGTTCTTTGCTAGTTGTGCTTCAATGTTATCGCCATTTACTGTCTTTTAGTTGGCTGGAACAGCTTAGTACACGTGAACACTGGTCAGCGAGCCTATACCAGGTGATCGATGAAAGGCCCAAAGAAGAACATGTTACACGACAATGCCAAATGAATAATTGTTTGCTGTTCTGCCAATGTGGTTTTATGTTTCAGGAATATACATATATATATATATATATATATAATATAGTATATATATATATATGATACAATTTGTTATTTTACATGATATATGCCTAGATTATCGAATAAAAGTTATATTATGAGAGAGACCGATTTTAAAAATAACGAGTACCTCTATTATTATATGCTCTACACAGCAATATTCGCGCTCGTTTCTTCTTTATCTCTTTTTGTTTGCTGTTCAGGAATATAATAATACTATAATAATATATATATATATAATATATCTAATATATATTTGATCGTCATGTATCTACCTATCTATGTATCTTCCTATAAGGCGGGCAAACGCCTCAAGCGATATGGATGCCAATTTTTCACAGGGCCATTCTTAGTACCCCGGCGCTGTGTTCCGTAGCTGAAAAAACCTGTCTAACCGTCAAACTCGCGCGAAAATCCGTGAAAAACCCCTCAATTCGGCAATCTTCACACAATGTCAGCACAGCCTATGCCTATTGATTTTCTTGCCCTCACCTCATGACTCTGCATCAGCTGCTGGTATTGTGAAACCGAAACCGAAATCGAAACTAAAACAGAGCATAACCACGACCAGTTCAGAGGTACTACTCACTCTCAGTTCACAGTTTCGGTTCAGATGCTACGATCTGAGAATGCATTGTACCATTCACAAGCTATGCATTTTCTGGATTCAATACAAAAATTTTTAATTTCCATGTGCATGGTTCACGCACCGCCAAGCATTCACTACACAAATCCAGTGACACAGACCCCACTCGCTGGCCTGTCTCTATCTATACTATATATGCAATTTCTTTTATTCGGCGTACGATCTCACAATGGATAGCTGTACGTGGGGAGCTTAACAGTTCGATACGCCACGAATCTCTACATATTTGCACCAGAGAATAACACGAAAAACATTGTTTATCTAGAGTCTTTGAAACGAAAAGTCCACCTATTCGTACATGCTGTTATATAACAATAGCTTTTGTCGCATTTACTCCATATTACTGCTGAGAGGGTCTGTGCCGCCCCCCCCCACCCCCGGGATACTGCGGGACGTACCCTGGTACGGTGGGGTATACCGGAACGTACCGTGGTACTATCTAATATGCGCGACGCGTACTCGCCTACTCCACTAACTGGTGCGCCTACGCCTACTCCCGTAACCCAAGCCCAAACGCCTAACCCTAACCATATCAAATAGCCACCAGGTACGTTCCGGTATACTGGGGGACATAGACCCTATGAGCCATATTACTATTAATATTATGTCTCAGGTGTTTCTAAGTTCGGTTGTGCTGTCATATAAATGTCATACCGTAACAGTTTTCCCCATGCTTATTATCTATTAGACCTGATTTCTAAATATTGATATTGGGTTGCAATGTCATTGTCGATGTTTTACCCAATGTTCTACTGTGTCCCATTTATTAGTATAGTAGTATGAATTAGTAGCACGATTTTACCCAGCGCAGCGGGTACCCGCAGCTAGTAATATATATATCAGGAGTAGATAATAGGGCATTCCCTATTATCCCTAATAATTTCCCTATTATCTACTTCTGATATATATATTACTAGCTGCGGGTACCCGCTG